GGAAACTACCAGGCAGTTGGAAGGAGGCAGTAGTGGTACCAATCCGGAAGCCCGGGAAGGATCCAACAAAGCCAACAAGCTATCGGCCAATAGCTTTAACATCACATGTATGTAAGATTATGGAACGTATGATTACGGAGAGGCTAACTTACTTCGTGGAGAGCAGAGGGCTAGTAATGCCACATCAGAGTGGGTTCAGGAAGGGTAGGGGAACTATGGATCCAGTGCTCTGCTTAGAAACAGAGGTCAGGAAGGCTCAGGTGAAAAAGGAGACTGTTGTAGCTGTCTTTTTTCATGTGGAGAAGGCGTATGATATGATGTGGAAGGAGGGGTTGTTAATCAAGCTTGATATTAAGGGGGTAGGAGGAAGAACGTACAACTGGATAAAGGATTTCCTGTTTGGAAGGTCTATCCAGGTGAGGGTGGGGAAGTCTTTATAAGGCAGCTACTTGGTGGATAACGGGGGAACACCACAGGGGAGCGTGATTAGTCCTCTGTTGTTCTCAATCATGATCAATGATGTTTACTCTCAGGTACAGCCGGATATAGGGAGGTCGTTATTTGCAGATGTAGTGGGGATGTTGATGTTAAAGTGTCAATGAGCAAGGCAGAGGCAAAAAGACTGATATATATAGTGATGGTGCATAGATTGCAGGAGCAGTGGAATAGAGATAATAAGGGAAGGCATTTATTTCATGTAGAGAGGAAAGTCAGGGAGGGGAGGACGGCAGGAAGGGACAGAAGAGAGGAGGCTATTTTTACAAGATTAAGGGTGGGACACAGCCAGTTGAATAAGACATTAAATGTGATAGGAAAGTATCCAACAGGAAAGTGTGATTATTGTCAGGAAACCGTGGAGCATGTATTGCTATAGTGTGGGCAGTATCAGAGGGAAAGAGAGAGGATGAGATCTAGTATGAGGGAGAAGGGGATACAGGAAATTAGTTTAAAGAGTATATTGAGTAGAACGTCATTAGATATAGTCTCAAATATTTAGTTATCTTTTTTAAGAGAAACGGGGCTGGCAGGTAGGATTTAGTTTCTCCCTGTCTAAGGCCCACACTCCAGTACAGTAGGTGGCGGTAATGCACCATAACGTTGGATGCCAACCGCCGATAAACCCCACTGAAGAAGAAGAAGATTTATACTCCTACAACCTTGCCAAAAGAGAAATGCACACTACGTACAGTAGGTGGCGGTACCTCTTAAACCCTCACATAAGAAGACGGAAAGGCCAATGCCATCAACAGGAAGTTAGTAAACATCCTCCCTCAAATGCTGTAGTAGCTATAGAAAAATGGCGACGGCAGTTTCTCTGGTTGACTTACCTGTGAGGTGGAGCAAGGTGGGAAGGTCTTGACCGACTGAGGGGTGGAGCATGGCGTCTTCAGCGAAAAGACGAGCAGTTGGAAAGGGAGTAAGTCCCGATGATAGTGAGGATAACAGCTCGGATGAGGGATCGGAAGACGATGGTGATTCAGGAGAGGAGGACAATGGATCAGAAGAGGAGAGCAATGAAGAGGTCAAGGCCAAGGATAGAATAGACACCGGAAGGGAAAGGAGGGGGAAAATGGAGTCCTTAGAGAAGGCAAGAAACAGATATAGGTTTGGAGAAATGCAGTATTATCATAAGGAGACATATACTTGGATGAATGAGGAGGAATGGAGGGAAAAAGAGAGGCAGAGGAGGTCTAAGAGAGAGATGGAGGAAGATTGTGAGTTTGAGTCAGTTAAAAATGGCGGGTAAAAAGGGAGAAGGTTTGTTAAAGAAGAGTGGTAGGAAATGTAAGCAAAGTGAGCTGAAGACAGGAGTAGAAATGGAAGTGTATGAGGGTGATGTATCGGAGGGGGAAGGTGTGGTGAAGTACTTGGAGCCCGAGGATTGCACAGCGGGTCAGGATAAAGATGAGTCTGTGACAATAGGAGTGAAGTTTGTGGAAAAAGTAGACCCTTGCCTTTTGGCTGATCCAATTGTGGTTTCAAGATGGGTGAAAAAAGCGTTGGGTAAAGGGGAATCGGTGAGGGTAACCAGAAGTGGTCTAGTGATAATTGTTTGTGTTTCTGTTGGGCAGAGGGAGAAGGCGCTCAGAGTTAAACAAATGGGGGAAAGAATTGTGAATTGTTTCACTCTTAAGAAAAGGGCGCCATTGAGAGGAGTGATTACTGGAGTAGCAGTGAATGTAAAAGTTGACCAACTGAAGGAGATGATTCCCGGTGTGTGTGATGCTCGTCGTTTGGTGCGACGTAAACAGGGTGGCGAGAGTGGGGAAACAGAGGAGTCATTGTCTGTTCTTTTGAGTTTTTAAGTTGAGTCTTTGCCTGAGAAAGTGAGGTTAGGATATATAAGTTATCCAGTGTGAGCATATGTGCCGAATACCTTAATATGTTACAGGTGTCAAATTTATGGGCATGTGGCAGCAGTGTGTAGGAGGGAGATTCCAAGGTGTGAGAAGTGTGCAGAAGGGCATGAGACAAAGGAGTGTGAAGCAGTGGGGAAAGTGGTGGTGTGTGCTAATTGTAGGGGTGGCCATGGGGCTGGGGATCAGACATGTCCAGTGCGAGAGAAGCAGGTTGAGGTATCCAGGGTAAGAGTAGAGAAGAAGTTGTCATATGCGGAGGCAGTGAAGAAAGTAGAGGAAGATGGGTCAAGGGGGAGGGATCCTGAGAGAAATGGTGTGAGTAGTAGAGATGTACCAGTACAGAGGGATGAACCAAAAAGTGATATATGGTTCAGCAAGATTGGATTTATTAATTGTACTGCAGGTATGGAACGCAAATTGAGGTGGTGGTGGCAGCTGCAGAGAGATATTTGGGTGTGCGAGACTTGACAGCAGAAGCGTTACAGGGAGTGTTAAGTGGTGATGTCCCATCAATTCAGGTTGACGGCATGAGGTAGGAGTGAGTGTATTTAAACAGTGGAGAAGGGTGGGGTTATTTATTAATTGTAGTGTTGAAGTTGTGGAGTGTAGTGTTAGATGGTAGGATATTTCTTTGCTTTGTTTTATTTAATTTTTCAAGGAAAGATAAGGGAGTTGAACTCCAGTCTAGTAGGTGGCGGTAATGCAACTAATTGGATGCCAACCGCCGTTAAACCTCATTGAAGAAGAAGAAAAATGGTGACGGTAGGCTTTTGGAACTAAAGAACACTTTAATTGTTTGTATTTATCACCACCAAATGTTTTGAAATACCGACTATACACTAGTGGCACACTTTTATTCAAAAGATAGATGGAGAACCAATTCAATGGCCTGGATTTTGAATCATGGAGAGCAATTCAAGTTGTCGACGTAAAAACTTGTTGGAGATCTACCTTGTTTTTCATTTCTTCCAACGCATTTGACTTTTTTTTATTGTTTTTAGTTTACTCTTCTGTTGCATTTGTTATTTTCCTCTTGCAATGGAGTATTTTTTTCACAAATATATTTTTGACTAGTTACATTCGTTTTGTTACTGAAGTCAATTAAGGCAATTCCATTTGTCCTTGAGCAATACCCCCACCCATGTTACCGCGCAGAAAGAAAAGGTTTACAGGGATTGGTTAGTGGGCTTGTCACGTCTACTTTATCTTCAACGCCAATCCATTCATTTTAATTGTTGTTGAAATCCATTCATTTTCATTGGTGTTGGATGCCAACTGTCAAATTCTTGGGGGGGATATTTTCTGGGAAAAACCCTTCTCTACTACAGATTTGTTTTTTACTCCGACTCAGCTTGTTTACTCAAGTAACATTACAGCTTTTCTTCTTGTGTTACATGTTATCAGACTATTGTCATAGCTAATGTAAACTTTGATAACTTACAATTGTTTGTCTTAAATTTTTGCTCAAACAGCATCGTTAACACATTTAGCTAGCAAAGTAAACTATGAAATACATGCTAACTTAGCTAGCTGGCGTTTTTCACTGCATTATTTTTAGGACAATAACATTAACGCAAGTTGTCTAGCTAGCCTCGTTAACTTAATTAACTAAGTTTGCTAAATTATGTCAGTGCTCTTATGTCCTTTCTAGCCGAGTTACTTAGCTAGCTAGTTTGCTAACGTTAGTGTGGTGGTATGTTAGCTTGCTAGCTAGCAGCATGTGTTAAGTTGGCTAGCTTACTATTAGCTTGTGTACTTGCTAGTTGAGTTAATTAGCTAGTTAACAACATTAACTTGGCTGTTGCGAAATATGTCGGTGCTGGTAACTTTATGTTATAGGGCTTTCACTCACTGCTCTAGAATGTAATGAAAGTGGCACAGGTTGCTACCATGCTAAGGACCTTTGCTGCTACTGGGCAGTCAGGTAAGAACACGTTCCACGTCTCTTTTTGGTGTAGCCTTAAACATCATGGTCTGTAACTGTTTTTAGGAGAGTGACAGTGATTAACTGCTAATTTTCTCTCCCTATAGGTCCGGATAACATACTTTTGCTACGTCGTATGTGAACAGTGGATGACTGAACGCTTGAGATGGATAACAAGATGAATACCTTGTTAGCCTATCAACATGCAAAGACCTGGAAATGCTGGAGACTAGGCTGAGCCAGGACACCAACCTCCAGGAGAGACTTGTAAGTGTGCTCAGAATATACAGTACCAGTCAAAAGTTTGGACACACCTACTCATTCAAGGGTTTTTCTTTATTTTTAAAATGTTCTACATTGTAGAATAATAGTGAAGACATCAAAACTATGAAATAACACATATGGAATCGTGTAGTACCCAAAAAAGTGTTAAACAAATCAAAATATATTTTATATTTGAGATTCTTCAAATAGCCAAATGACAGCTTTGCACACTCTTGGCATTCTCTCAACCAGCTTCTCCTGGAATGCTTTTCCAACAGTCTTGAAGGAGTTCCCACATATGCTGAGCACTTGTTGGCTGATTTTCCTTCACTCTGCGGCCCGGCTCATCCCAAACCATCTCAATTGGGTTGAGGTCGGGGGATTGTGGAGGCCAGGTCATCTGATGCAGCACTCCATCACTCTCCTTCTTGGTAAAATAGCCCTCACACAGCCTGGAGGTGTGTTGGGTCACTGTCCTGTTGAAAAACAAATGATAGTCCCACTAAGCCCAAACCAGATGTGATGGCGTATCGCTGCAGAATGCTGTGGAGCCATGCTGGTTAAGTGTGCCTTGAATTCTAAATAAATCACAGACAGTGTCACCAGCAAAGCACCCCTACACCATAACACCCCCTCCTCCATGCTTTACGGTGGGAAATACACATGCGGAGATCATCCGTTCACCCACACCGTGTCTCACAAAGACACGGCTGTTGGAACCACTCCTTTAACTGAATCCATCGTTCCAGTCCATGACCTTGTTGTATTCGTTGATCTTGTGTTTGATGTGGGACAGTTTGTTCTTCAGGTACTCACAACGCTCCCTCTTCTCCAGGAATGTGGGGTCCTGACAACAGGAACGGGAGAACAAGAGAATGAGTGACATTCTTACTTTTGTGGACTGTCTCCAACTCTCCATTTCACTGTCTGCCACACACCAACACACGCACAAACACCTTCCTAAGACATCAGTGGAAAAAAGTCCCATATCATGTTTTGCAGTTTCATGAGGTAAACGCTGCAAATTTCCTAGTCTGTGGTGTGTGTGTGTAGACGGGACAGAGATTTAGCTTAAAACAAACAGGAAGTCAGAGGAATGAGTGGAGAGAAGAAGAGCTTTGACCTACTATCAGTCTGTCACACATCATTGGTTTGGCTGAAAGGGAAACTAACAAACTATGTGAAACTCCCATTCTACACAAACAGGTTTTACTGTACAACTTCTAAAGGGGCTCTTCCACAAACATATTCCGGAACAAAACCTATTTTAACAGATCATTATTGAGGCTCTGGAGGTGTAGTGTGTCCCCTGCCTATACACATTTCTCAAACCCAGCAGATTTAAAAACACTTACCGCTTTCTTCCTCTGGTACTCCAGTACTAGGGTATTCATGCGTTCCTTCTCCTGAAAAATAGAAAACATATCTTAACTTTGAACGAGTGATTGGTAAAAAAGCGCTATGGTGGGCATTAGGCTATGTTATGGTAGCTTTGTGTTTGTTAATGTGATCCGTGTGTGTGTGAATTTGAAATGGGTGTGGGTGTGTGCATGTGACAGGCTACTGTGTGTGTGGTGCGCGTGAGTAGTCTACGTGTGACATGCTTGTGTGTGTGTCTCGCTCTCTGTCTCAGTACCAGTTGGCTGGAGGGCCGAGGAGGCAGGTTCCTCATCAGTTCGTCCATCTCGTCGAACCTCTTGGCCATGGCCTGGACCTCAGCATGCAGCTCCTTGTACTCAGAATACTGGTCTTTGAACACAGCCTTGTACTGGTCCCTCGCCTCCTCCGTACGGATGGTCGGGTACTTCCTGTTGACACAGGAAATAGGAAGTAAAGGTCGTCAACAACCACGGGTGCATCTCAAGAGTCTCAAATGGCTTCCTTGTCCATTATACACTCATCTGCATATTTACGTGGTAGGGATGCAGTGTAGGCCTTTATATGTAGAAACTAATTTCTACCTCCTGGGCAACCAGGTGTGTAGACTCTCTTGCCAAACCCATCAGTACCATTAACTGATCAATTAAGTGGCAGAGAGAGAGAGAAAAACAGCAGGACTGTGGGCTGGAGTTCTGCACCGTATAACCATAGATAGATAATATTTTAGTGAGAAGCAGACGGTTGCATTCAGCTACCCTTTAGTACTAAAGGTCCATACATGTATTTATGCAGGGACGTTCCATTGAGACCAAAGTATATTTTTCCAAAGGAGCCCTTCACAAAAATGCAGCAAATACAAAGTATGTCATAAGGAACCAGAGATACAAATGACAACAAACAAATGCAGGAGCATGATATATAAAAAAATACTAATTATAAAAAAACATGTACAACAGTCAGAGAACAGGTCAAATAACATTAGATGTGTGGTTAGTACTCACGCCACATAGTCTGCGATGACCACAGGTTTGGGGATGTGTCCTGCAGGGATGTGTCCTCTGAGGATCTCTGGCTCCATCATCAGAGGGACGGCTGGAGAGACAACGTGGCTGTCCAACACTTCTGGGATCGTCTGGAGGGTGGGGAGAGGGGTCTGCTTTGAGGCCCTTGAGCCGCCCAGCTGTGGAAGGATGGGGAAGGGAGGTATGGTTACTGTGTTGTCAGCAGAGTTGAGGTCCATTCCATTAAAATTCAGAAAGTAAACCAAATCATTCCAATTATCCTTATTGAAAAGCATCAAAGAGAGTTGGAATTTCAGAGTACTTCCTGAGTTGACTGGAAATGGAATTGACCCTAACCTTGGTTTTCATTATGCATGATCAGTTTAATGGAATGAAGAGTGACATTTCCCCTTGGGGATTATAACGTTTTCTACTACTGTACTAAGGGACTTCACCTCAGATATTGGCAGGGAAGATCCAATGGTTGTCATCTGAGAACAAAGAAGACAAAGGGGAAAGGATGAGGCAAAGGATTAGTCATATAACACAATAATTGCAGCCCTCCCATCCCGACCTCACCTCCTGCGCCAGCCCCTCCCTCCTCAGCCTCGCCGATTCATGCCGCCACAGCTTCAGACACACACCGGTGCCCACAAAATAGACCAACATGTTAACAAACAGGAAGATAATGGCTGCGGTCTGGCCGGCTTCTGTGCGGCAAAACGCCCCATTAACTCCATTATTGAAGACGGGGTAGTAACATAGCCCTCCTCTGGTCGTGTCCCAGACGTAGACTGACCCTGCTACCATGTAGAGCACACCCAAGGCCAGGTTAATCACACACTCAGTCAGGGGCCACCAGGACGAGTCTAGGAGGATGGTACGGTAGTACATGGTCATCCCCAGGACTAGCATAATGACTGTCACCATCCAGGCCAGCCCGGCTACCACTAGAACGAAGGGGGTCTTAGGTCCAGTGTAGCTAACCGATCCACTGCCCCCGAAGGCCGCCGCGCCACCCCCTAAACCCCCGAACATCTGTGGCTGGGAGTAGCCGAACATGTTGAACCACTCGTTGTCCTTGTGCACATAGGCGCAGGAGCAGGCAAATACGGCCGCGCCCAGTAAGAGCTCCACACAGCCCAGGATGCGCAGTAGCCCCGCCCAGGACTTCATATAGGCATAGCGCTGGTGGTATTCCTCCACCCGCTCACTGTAGGTCATGACCGAGCGGAAGGTGCGACCCGAGACAGACTCGATGGCTTCGGCTCCTAGCAACATGGCGTCACGTTCTTTTCTGGAGTTGTAGCTGCCACCAGATCCTCCGTACGGGTCCAGGTAAGAGCCGGGGAGGGAGGGAGAGGGGGGAGGGGAGTGGGGAGGGGAGCAGGGGACACCTCTAGTGGTTCCCGGTTTGAGGTCGTCTTTTTCCGTCACAGGCGGGGAGGGGGGCGGGGGTAAGGAGAAGGGCTTGCTGCTACCGCGGAATAAATTATTGACTGAGTCAGGAATTAATCGGTGGATGGGTTTGATGTCCATGGCCGCGCTGTCGTCGTCCAGGCACTTTGAGGCGCCATCGCTAGGGGGGTAGAAGTCAGGGCCCACGGGAGGCTGGTCCGGGAGGGGAGGGGGGGGCAGAGGGTTCGAGCTCACAGCCAGGTCTGCCCCCCTGAGGCCCCCAAGGGCTCGTGGAGGATGAGGGAGGCCCTGGTCCCTCCATAAGGAGCCCACAGGGACCTGGTCGTAGTGAGGTTCCGCATCCCTGACCAGGTCGAAGCGGCCGGAGGAGCCCCCTCCAGCAGACATGGGGACTCACTGGTCTTTGCCCTAGGACGGACAGACGGACAGACAGACAGACAGACAGACAGACAGACAGACAGACAGACAGACAGACAGACAGACAGACAGACAGACAGACAGACAGACAGACAGACAGACAGACAGACAGACAGACAGACAGACAGACAGACAGACAGACAGAGAGAGAGAGAGAGAGAGAGAGAGAGAGAGAGAGAGAGAGAGAGAGAGAGAGAGAGAGAGAGAGAGAGAGAGAGAGAGAGAGAGAGAGAGAGAGAGGCTGTTATTAGAACATGCTGTTACAAATATATTACCAAAATATGAGCCATTAGGTTCACCTCATCAGCACTAGCAGTATTGAATGTGATACCCCATTTCAATTTTTAAGCCAGGCATGTAGGCCTACAGCAATCTAACACAAATGACAGTTGGTCCCTTTTCTTTGAGATAGGAACTTTTTCTTGATGACAGTAGCAGCAGCAGTAGTAGCAATAGCAGTAGTAGTAGCAGCAGCAGCATGCAAACTACATTCAATTAAGGGCTGCTTGAGATTCCTGGGTGTTAAATGTAGAAACCATGGCAAGAGAACAATAGGCCTACCAGATACCCTGTTACCACACAGATAACACATACCGTTACCACACAGATAACGCAAAGAACCTACACGTCTCTAATTCACCCAAACCTCTTGTGGAATTGAGATTCACTGATTTATTATAGTTTCTGATCCATATACTCAGAGTCGATATGCACGTATTAAGGAATTCCCACGACCACGCCCACAAATTGGGGAAAACAAACATTCTTTCCCATTCATCCCCATTGTAAAAGAGCCAACTTCTTTGTCGATCTTTTGTTATACAGAAATAACAAAACATGCCGAAAAGTTGTGTTGTTCAATGTACTTGTACCAGGTCAAAAATCCCGACCTACGGATCGCAATGCTTCCACGTAGGGAAATAGAGCCTGTGAGAAGAGCCCCGTGGCTTCAAGCTATTCAGCGTGGGAGAGTGGGAAATGTAGGGACCCGGTGTCTAAATAGGCTACACGTAGCTATGTGTGTGGAAAACATTTCATCACAGGTAAGACATTTAACTTGTTTACTATAGTCCATTTGTAACTCCACTCACCACTTGTAGCTGTATAGTCTATTTGTTTGTGTTGGTCTTGGCTAGCTTAACGTTCCGCTCGGTAGCTAGCTAGCAGCCACGTGAAAAGGGGCATGAAAAGGGGCTTGAGGGAAGTCCTACAATATTACATGTTTTTGGTGAGTAGTGAGAATAGTCTGGAGCAGGCAAAGTTTAAAAGGAATCTTTAGACATGTTGTACTTTTCGTAAATGTAGTTTTGTAATTGACTAAAACAAGCAGACAATAAGGAAATTGAGTTTAAAAAGGGTCACGTTTTTGCTGTGAGCCAATGGGGTAACCTAGGTAAGCAAAGGTTGTTATTCCTACCGACTAGGACTATGAGCCTGATTGTACCAGGTTGCTGTTCAGCATTGACAATTGTTAGTGAGTGGATTATCCTGGTGGTTAAATCAATTAAATTAAACTTTCCTCCCAAACTTCATGTTCTGTATAAAATAGAATCGTTTTCTTTTACAAACAGTGCCTGATGTGGGGAAAGATCTAGAAGTTTAGTGTTCTGTAAAAAGGTTATCTGACATTATCTTCCTTTACCAAATGACCATAACATCTTTACAACATTTTGGCAAGAGACAACAGTAACTTTGCAGGAATAATCATTTTAACAAAACAACAAAAGAGTGGTGGAAATATAATACCTCTTTCACACGTGGTCACTGAGCCAGACTTACATCGTCTTGCTGTTCAGCTTGAACATGTTTGGATATCTTCTCTCACTGTCACTCACCTGGAATGAGGACAAACGGGTGACAGTCAGTTACAGTGACCTAACAGAAGAAGAATGTGTTCTAAATATATCTGCATAGCCTACCCTATATACTGTACACCATTTCATGGCTGTATAGTTTTCCAGGTTTGCAGATAAAGCACAAAGGATAGGCTAAGTGTTCAGACCTATCTTTAGGAGACAGGTTAGGTGTTTTGGTCTTTGATAATATTTTTTTCTTAACCTGATTTATTTCTTATCTGGTTATCAACTCTTGAGTACACTAAATCAAAATGCATGTCTTTTCGTCTGATTGTTAAAAATGTTCCAAATAATTCTGGGATGCAGTCCAACATATGGCCACTTTGGACGAGAGGAGGTAGGCTACGTTCGGGAACATTTGGGATAAAGACACACGCCATTTCCATCCTGATAATCTATCTCCTGATCAATAACAGATATTGGCCCAACCTGTCTATCAAAATGAAACAATTTAACTTTTACGGATTGATCGTTGTTTCTGAGCCTGATTGTACCAGTTTGCAGTTTAACATCCCTAAAAGTAGGCTATCTGCATCAGATGTATCATATTACACACATCCGCAGAAGCACATTTATTGAAACATCTGGATCTATTCCTAAATGTGACAATTCAGTTGATGTTTTATTACAAAATGTTGCTTACCTGCTGTTGATTTAATCCACCTGTTTTCTTTCTGCCAATTACCTTATGACCAACTTCCCTCTCCCTGTGTATGATATAGTCGTCTGACAGAAACCCACCTGGGCGGTCGAACTAGACTGGTGAGATGGGTAGGCCTGGCGCTTTCTCAGAACTGGGATCGAAACCGGTGATATCCGACACCCCACTGGTCCTTGGACTTCTAATTGCTACTTTCTACCGTTACTCTAATTTACATTTCACTCATAAAATGTAGACTAGACTTGCTCCTCCAACTGGCTATTTCAGTTCATACAGTTTATACAGTTTAGGCAGAGCATCAACATCAGAAATAGAAGCCATTCGCCACACATACAACCAATGCACAAAATGAAATGCCCTTTTATATTATTATACTTTTTGAAAATAATGTGGAATTATATTTATCTCTGATCAGTGTCAGTATTGTGGAGGAGTCTGCGTTATAAGACAATTAAAGGGGCAGTGCAGTCAAAAACGTGATTTTCCTGTGTTTTATATATTTTACCACACTATGAGGTTGGAATTGTACTGTGAAATTGTGAAAATTAAATGCGCTTTTAAGAGTCGCTTGTTTGGCTGGGTGGGGGTTTTGGACCGCCTATATAAGTTCATAGACCAATAACAAAGAGAGCTTGCCCTCTCTGCCAATAACAGCTTGTTTTCAGGTTACACATCCTTCCCATTAAGCGCCTCCAATTAGGCCCCTCTCTCAGACCACTCCGACAGTCCTAGCAATGTTCTTGCTTGAGAAAGCTTTTCTCTATGAAGTTTCTTTTGTTTCTTTTTGACCATTTTAATTTAAAACAATCACAGTAAGGTACTTAATTGTTACCCAGCAATGATTTTATATTGAGATGAAAACAGCTGCATTGGACCTTTAACTCATGCAACTCATGCTACTTTTATTTTACTGCTGCTCTTTAATTATTTGTTATTTTAATTTTTTGGTTATCTATTTTTTACTTTACACTTACTTTTCTTAAAACGGCATTGTTGGTTAAGGGCTTGTAAGTAAGCATTTCACTGTAAGGTCTACACCTGTTGTATTCAGCGCATGTGACAAATAACAATTGATTTGAAGTCAATCTGGATCATAGACCATACACAGCCAGTGGAGGTCAGTATGGTATCATCGATTAAAGCTGAAGGCTGCAAGTAAACTTCAGTTGATAGGCCTACAGCATGACAAATGGATGGAAAGTAGCATAGGCCTATGGATCTTCAGACAACCTAATAATCACCAGTTGATCGTAAATACATTTATCTTCTTTATTATGTGGTTCCACCATCATTCCTTGTACAGTATAAAGCTTTAGCCAAAACTACCACTGTCTACTGTTACAACCTGTGAGTATTCCATGGAAATACTTTAGCTGTATGAGGCCAAACATGACTATGTGTCTCACTATCAATGTTTACAATAAATTATGGATGTAAAAGAAGATCATACATATCTAGAAATAACATTTTAAACAAAAACACATTTAACAAAAGACAATAGATGAAAGGGGTGTGGGCATACATCAATATTTTGTGTTGTTGATGTAGATAAACAATTGGAATGCTATAAATGCAAAAGAGCTGAAAAGTGCCAAAAGAGATTTGATTTAAACTATAGTTAAACAATCTATGCCACAAGAAAATGTAACATGCATCTAATTAATAGACATTCCATTTTCCCATCCTTGAACTTCTCTAAAATGACAAAACACTTCCCTTAGAGCAGGGTTTCCCAAACTCCGTCCTGGATTTTGATATTCCAGCAGGATATGGCAATTCCTGCAGGACCAAGTACAATGGCAATTTCAAGTTAACTTTGGATTTGAGATACAGTATGTTGTGACAACAGAGAAAATACACTTTTGAAATATAGTGCAATATCAGACATTTCAACTCAGCAAATGGGAAATGTCCACATGCAATAAATATAGTGTATGCTATTTTTATTTGATGGATACCAACACAAATAATAATGATTTCAGTAGGCCCACAGTTCAGTCAATGTTATAATGTAATAATGCATTTACAGTGGGGAAAAAAAGTATTTAGTCAGCCACCAATTGTGCAAGTTCTCCCACTTAAAAAGATGAGAGAGGCCTGTAATTTTCATCATAGGTACACGTCAACTATGACAGACAAATTGAGGAAAAAAAATCCAGAAAATCACATTGTAGGATTTTTTATGAATTTATTTGCAAATTATGGTGGAAAATAAGTATTTGGTCACCTACAAACAAGCAAGATTTCTGGCTCTCACAGACCTGTAACTTCTTCTTTAAGAGGCTCCTCTGTCCCTCCATTCGTTACCTGTATTAATGGCACCTGTTTGAACTTGTTATCAGTATAAAAAACAACCTGTCCACAACCTCAAACACCCACACTCAAAACTCCACTATGGCCAAACCAAAGAGCTGGTCAAAGGACACCAAAACAAAATTGTAGACCTTGCACCAGGCTGGGAAGACTGAATCTGCAATAGGTAAGCAGCTTGGTTTGGAAAGAAATCAACTGTGGGAGGAATTATTAGGAAATGGAAGACATACAAGACCACTGATAATCTCCCTCGATCTGGGCCCAACGCAAGATCTCACCCCGTGGGGTCAAAATGATCACAAGAACGGTGAGTCAAAATACCCAGAACCACACGGGGGGACCTAGTGAATGACCTGCAGAGAGCTGGGACCAAAGTAACCAAAGCCTACCATCAGTAACACACTACGTCGCCAGGGACTCAAAATCCTGCAGTGCAAGACCTGTCCCCCTGCTTAAGCCAGTTACATGTCCAGGCCTGACTGAAGTTTGCTAGAGTGCATTTGGATGATCCAGAAGAGGATTGGGAGAATGTCATATGGTCAGATGAAACCAAAATATAACTTTTTGGTAAAACTCAACTCGTCGTGTTTGGGAGACAAAGAATGCTGAGTTGCATCCAAAGAACACCATAACCTACTGTGAATCATGGGGGTGGAAAACATCCCGCTTTGGGGCTGTTTTTCTTTCTGCAAAGGGACCAGGTTGGACTGATCCCGTGTAAAGGAAAGAATGAATGGGGGCCATGTATCGTGAGATTTTGAGTTAAAACCTCCTTCCATCAGCAAGGCATTGAAGATGAAACGTGGCTGGGTCTTTCAGCATGACAATGATCCCAAACACACCGCCCGGGGCAACGAAGGAGTGGCTTCGTAAGAAGCATTTCAAGGTCCTGGAGTGGCCTAGCCAGTCTCCAGATCTCAACCCCATAGAAAATCTTTGGAGGGAGTTGAAGTCTGTGTTGCCCAGCGACAGCCCCAAAACAATCACTGCTCTGAGGAGATCTGCATGGAGGAATGGGCCAAATACCAGCAACAGTGTGTGAAAACCTTGTGAAGACTTACATGAAAACGTTTGACCTGTGTCATTGTCAACAAAGGGTATATAACAAAGTATTGAGAAACTTTTGTTATTGACCAAATACTTATTTTTCCACCATAATTTGCAAATAATTCATCTAGGTTGGTTATTGTGCATCTTGTTGTCATTTTACATTACATTTACATTTACGTCATTTAGCAGACGCTCTTATCCAGAGCGACTTACAGGAGCAATTAGGGTTAAGTGCCTTGCTTAAGGGCACATCGACAGATTTTTCACCTAGTCGGCTCGGGGATTAGAACCAGCGACCTTTCGGTTACTGTCACTGGGTCTATAAAAGCGAAGCCCACTTCACTGCCAACGTCAACAAAAGACCTGACCGTCCCCACTGATCCATGTTGGGTGACCACTACATGGTTTACTCGTTTCGATAAGGTACTTCCTGTTTTGGAATGAATGCCATTCCCATTAATGATCGCCCTATAGTGAAATTGACATGGTTCTTTGTAAGTAACGTCTGACTCTCCAAGGAGAAAAGCCTCCCTTGATGTAGGGTTCCGTGCAACAGGATACCCTAGTAAAAATACACTCCTTTTCTCCACATTTGTTGGCAAGTTTGTAGCCCCTTAACATTTCTTCAACAAACCTTTTGCTAGCTTGGTTTGATTCTGTGCTGAATGTAATAGTGAGTAGTCTCGGGATGAATTGAGTGTGGTGGTCTTGTCACATTTACAGGTGGTTTTATGGCACGCAATCTTTTATTTATGTGCTCTATTTCTCTTCCAATGTATCAGGACTCAGGGTGATATTTGGACTCAAACCATAGTGTAGTCATTTGCCGACATATGCAAAGTAAGATGCCGTGCATGTAATCAAAAGCAAACCCTGCAATCATGTTGAAAACAGTAAGGAACATTAAAGGAGATGGGCCCTTAAC